GGTGGTCCAGTGGTTAAGAATCCGCCTTGCAAGGCAGATGACGATCCTTGGTTGGGACAAATGAGCCCTCGCGTAACAACTACTGAAGCCCGTGCACTCCAGAGACTGTGCCACAATTAGAGAGCCCATGGGCCACAAAGAAAGATCCCACACAACACAGCAAAGATCCTGCAGGCTGCAAGTAAGACCAATGTGGCCAAATAAATAATCTTCAGAGTGCCAAAGGGACTAAGAGATTAAAGTCACTGGACTCCTAAAACTTAGGCTAAGGCTGATGCACAGATTATGTGCTCGACCCAGGCACCTTCCTACCAAAATCCAGGGGAACAAACAGCCTACTATCCAGTCCACAGTCAGAGGCAGACTATAAACCAACAATCTAGTGCTAAGAGCTCACATCAACACAAACAAGCGGGCATCCGAACTGGTATCAGAACTAGGCAGAGGCTTGGGCTGGCCACTTAGAACCTGTGCAACTCAGGCCATCTCTCCAACGCTTCCTCTCTCCTGGGTTGCCCTTTTCCACTTACAAAGGCCCCCTGAATTATGAAGCTATTACAGAAGTCCTTAGTGACTTCAAGCTGAACCAGAACCCAAGCAGTTCACACACAACTACTCTCCCTTGGTGTTCCTGCAGCAGCTCTGTCTCCTGCCCAATGATGCTCTGGTTATGGAGCTAAGACCATGAGCGGGACTCCACAAAACGATTCTGATATACCTAAACTTGACCCAGCCATGACAGAGAGTATCTCTCTTGTTCTTTCACACAGACTTGCACACAGCTAACAAGAGTTGTTAGGTCATTTATGCAAAAGAAAAGTGCACAAAAGTTGAGAGGAGCATGGAAGCAAAGCCATGTAGGACAATAAAGGAACTAGCCCATGTAGGGCAGACAGAGGAGACAAGGCAGCCTTCAAAGAGAAAGCACTTCCAAAATTACAGGATAAAGAGAGCATGGTTTCTGGAAATGCCAACCAGGTACACGAGGAGAGGAGAGAGTACACCAAGTGTTTTAAATGCACTTGACCACTGAGTCACTTTGCTGTACACCTGAAACTAACACAACATTGTAAATGAACTATAGTTAGAATTTTGTTAATGGTTAACAATTAAACGCCAGGGTCACTGGGAGCTCAGCGAGACACAGGTCCTTGTCAGCAGACCAGGGGCAGGGCGGAGGGTCTCTGTTCCCAACAAGCCCCCAGGTCTGGCCAGTGCTGCTGGCCACAGGCCACGTTGAGAGCAACTAGGTGCCAGGGAACCAGGATCCCACAGACCCCATTTCCAATGATTAAAGAGAAAGGGGTGGGGGAGAGAAGCATCCTGTGCCAGATTAGAAAGCATCAATGTGGGACAGTGGTTTTTTAATGGTAAAAATTTCCAACCATCTCACATATGTGTGACCGGGGAACTGATTTAATACATGATGGTGCCCTCACAGCATGGAACACTGCACAGCCATGAAGCACAGAAGTCTGTGCAAGTCGTTTGGAAAAACTGCGAAGACAATTGAGTGAAAAGGGCAAGTCAAAGCAGAGAAAAAAAATACCCATAGCACTCATAAGAAAAAAGTTAACATATATGTAAAAGATTATTTTTAAAAGTTTCAGAAACATACCACTTATTACCTATACCTATCTCTGAAAATGAAAACTTGCAGTTTCTCACCACACATTACTATTTGAAGTTTGGGGGGCTTTGTTTATTTTTACAGTGAGTAGGGATAACTTCTGTAATCAGAATAACAAAGGTGACAGTTGTGTTCTTAAAGCGTTTCCTGCAAGCTGCATATGACCTGTGTATTTGGACAAGAACAGTTCTATGGCTAATGTCACACAGAGAGAAATTCCTCAAGGGTCACAGCCACCATACAGGATCTGACCCCTAGACTAGGGAGGAGTATATCATCTTGGAAAATTCTAGAAACTAAACAGATCATCCGTGGGCAACTAGTGAATCCACACTGATCTTTGGGGTCACTGTTTCCTTTTCTAAAAAGTCACACGAGAACGACTTCACATCCTTTTTTTTTTTTTTTTTTGATCAGCTACTGGACAGGGATCCAGAAGGGTGTGGCAGGTACAGCAAAGCCTCTTTCAGCCAAGATAGACAACGAACAGATGGGGAGCTGCGGGAACAACCAGGCCCAAGAAGTTACTGTCTGACACATTTTAAAGGGAATTTGCTGAAACCTTCCTTACACGCTTGTCAGATGGAGAGGTGGGGCACAGTGGGGGAGGCAGCTGAGAGGACAGAGCGCACTGGACCAGCGGTCCAGATCTCACTCTCCTCTCGTGGACTCCACGCCCCCTTTAGGAAAAGGCAGAGATATAAAAGACTACTGCTCTTCTTTAAATTCACCTGTCTGGGTTTGAAAGGAGACTGCCAACTGCTCTGCACCCTGACTGTGGTGGTGTTATCCTACTCTGCACTGGTCAAGCTGGAACTAGATGCTGACTTGTGCTTTATGCCTGTTTTTTAAAGTCAACTGCAGAAATTAAGCTAGAACGCCTAGCTTCATGGTGTCGCAGAGAACTGAGCTGAGCACACACTCACTCATCTGATACACCTGGCTACCCACTGTCCCCCGGCTCACTCAGATAATACCTGCCCTGGAAGCATTCTTCCGGAAGAGATCACAAAAGCAAGGCAGTCAGGAGAGCCAGACTTCAAAACCACTGTACGGGGAACAAACACCATTCCAGGCACCGGCACTGTGACTACTTCTATATTCACCACCTGAGCTTTGCCAGAATCTCTTTAAAGGTGGGACCCCCAACTGCAACCCTCCAGACAGCACTGGCTGACATTGAGCCAAGCAGCACTGGCTGACACTGAGCCAAGCAAGGCTGGTGCCTCCAGCCCTCACTGGAGGGGACTAACAGTTCATGAGCTGCTGCAGTAGCTCTGCCATGAACTCCTACTAAGCTGCAGTAAGGCACAAGCCCAAGTCTTTCCGAGTTTCTGTTTGGCCTCGTCTCCACTGCCCTTTATGAACCTACACACACATTTGCAAATGCAACCCTGTTAAAAACTCAAGTCTCATTCGAGTTGGCCCCATCAACAAACCTGTCTAGATGGCCGTGGGTTCTGAGCAGTAGCTCACATACCTGTTGTTCAACTCCTCCCACTTCCATTTCTCCCCGCACCTGCTCGCCACAACAAATGTCCTCAGTAGAGAAGCACTGAGCAGGCCAGCGGCGGAGTGGAAGCTCCTGAGACCCCTATTTGGATGGAACTGACCCATACAGCAGCCACTCCTGGGACTTAGGACCCCACCCAACTATACTATTATGCCAGCATCCTGCCCACACTTCAGCACCTGGTGCACAAGAATCTTCTCGAATCGGAGACTGGCAAACCTTTTGCAGAAAATCCACACACCCCAAATGGGCAAAGGCAGGGATAAGACTGACAGAACCTGTTCCCTAAGCATTCACAGTGGTTGCCAATGATCCCTCTCTCTTCTCTAAAAGCATACAAGCTGTTCTTTCTGGAACACAGCTTGACATCCAAGTCAGACCAGACCCTCCCAGTCTGTTTCCTCACCTACTATCTCCCTCCTTTGGAAACTGGGATGCTGGGTATCTTGCAGTCGTGCAGAATCTCTCCTACCCTGCAATTCCTCAAGGACTGGCGATTTCAGCTGCAAATGAACTCCAGAGCCTCTGGACATCATTTCATCAGCCCAAGCGGAAACTAAGAGAAGCTGGGCGCTCCAGTATCTCCTTGCCCATCTGGGATTTCAGTTCTCTCATCCCAGGGCTACTTTGCCCTGACCCCTTACCCACCACTTCCTTACTTTACACAGAAACACTGAGGGGATTGTCTTTTTCCCAGGCTTCACGGTGCTCCCGATCCAGTGCTCACCAGACTTTTGCCTTCTCAGTACTATTCTTAAAGCTCCCTGTCCTCTTCCAGTGCAATCCTTAGTTTTCTTTCTGTTCTTCCTAACTTCCAGATGAAATCCTCCCCAAGAGCCTCTGTGGTCCTTCAGATACAGCCAGCTCTCTCTTCCCACCCTCTGGCTCACTTGCGGTTGGACTCAGTCCCCTGGATCTGCTTCCCTTTCAGTTTCAATCCACAAGATCATACTTCTTTTTTGGAGTTTCCTGAAACCCTAAAACTCTGGGCTCTGTGTCCAACCCCTCCCAGCACTCTCAGTTTCTGACTGTTGGAAGGTGGAACACGGCAGGCTTGCAGATCACTCCTGGGATTAGGTGTATCCCCCTGAAAAGCCCTTGCCAGCTCCACCTCTTCCAACTCTGACCCAGAGATGCCAGGCTCAGCTAAGCAACTGACGTTTTTTGTGAAAAAGGGAAACCAAGATAGTCATTTCAATGCCTAGTGAAGGAGGCGACTGGAGTAAAGAAAGCCCAGCCTAAGAATCCACAAACTCACCCTACTTCTGAGTAACCTCACAGTAAGTTTTTCCCAATACTCCTGGAAGCCCTTGTCCCGAGCACAATGTCTTATTCACTGCCAGGTAAGCACACTTGAGAATAGCCAGCCCCCCACTCCATCAGAACCCCTGTGAACAGGAGGCAGCATGCCAGCCCTCAGATTCCAATAGGTCTCATGCTTCTGCGATAGGTCTACACTGGGGAAGGCCCTGGGGACATGGTTGGTCTCCGCCCTGTTTTGTGCCCTTTCTGCCCACTTTTCTCAGGACAGGACCCCATACACAAAAAGGCCCTATTCAGTTGTTCCCTTTTAAAGCTGGGCTCCATAGGGCCTCTCCAGAGGAGGGAAAACACCCATCACTTTCTTCACTCTGTGTGAAGAGCAAGGTGATAGTAACACACATGCCCTAAAATAACATGTTGCAGGTTATGGCAGAGCCACAGCATGGTCTTCTGACCTTCCAGTCAGCCCTCTCTCATCTTCCATGCTGCCTCTGGAGAAACTGTGTGGCTCCCTGAACACAGAAAGGGCCTCCAATTCAAGGCCACAGACTAGCCCATAGGTCCCTTCACAGTCCCTCGCCCCTCCCCACTCACAAGGACAGCAGCAAGGAAAAGCCAGCAATGTAGAGGTTCCTCTGGGCACGGAAAAGCTTCATGTGGAAGTGCTCCACAGCCCCAGGGTTGTTCTGGAGGTTCACCTTCTCTGTCACATCATCATACTTTCGAATCTCACGAACAGCATCTGTGGCAGAGCAGAGATACAGGTGTTCAGCCCCAGATCAGTCCAGCTGAGATGCAAGGCATGAGTCTGGGCAGCCTTGCTTTCCTCGAAACTGTCTCCCCTGGTCTTCCCCTTCTACACACATCTTGGTGGATGCCTTGTCAGAAGTGCTGCCCTCCGACCTGTTCTCTCCTCCAGCTTTTCTCATGTCACCCTCTGGACCCATTCTACCCAGACCACAAGCTTGCTCTCCGTGTTAAGAAGCTCATCGAATCTGAGATGTTGCCGGAAACCGGGGCAACTCCCTTTCCCACGATGCCCCCAGTGTTTGGTTCTATTTATCACAAACTGGGCTGGCCATCAGCCACCCAACTGATAAGCCCAGCAAGTTCTGTTTATGGAAATGCCCAAGAGGGCAGCATGAGCTGCCTAGGAGTCAAGACCTGAAGCATGCCTGCTAAAGATTCAAATGTTTTCAATTCTAAGTGTCTAAGCTTTATAACCAGTTACTTAAACTGGTGTATTCTGCTTACAAAAGAAATTCACTCTCATCAATGTTCAATGCAGGAGAGAGAAGCCCATAATATAATCAATAACCTCCAGCAGAACCTGCTACATATGGCCAGCTTAAATAAAGCAGTCATTTTCAGTCCCATTAGTCAATGTTATCCTCTTCATAATACACACACCTAAAAATCATTGTCCATGTCCCCCAAATTAGACTACACTGCCACAAGAGCAGAAACCTTTCCTATTACATCCCTAAGGCCCAACACAGCTCTAGGCATACGGGGGAGCACAAACACCTAAACAGTGAACAGCCTCTGCTCTACAGAGTCACTGCTGGCTACTCATAATATATATATTCACATCTGTGCGTCTGCAGGCTAGAAATGGAACCATCCCATACCTACTGCTTTTCTCCCTCAACCTTGCTATCATTTTCTTCTCAACTGAGGTACACTGATTTGTAACATTATATAAGTTCCATTAGTACTTTTTATTTCTATTTCTGTATCCCCTACAACATGCTTAAAAAAATATGGAATGCTCCATGAGTTTGTATGTCATCCTTATGCAGGGGACATGATAATCATCTCTGTCTCATTTCAATTTCAGAATATGTGCTACTGAAATGAACACCTGAGACATCTTTTTAAGTCAATATGTAAAGATCTACCTAAAAAGGGCTCTTAATGGATCCCCATGAGAGAGAGGCAATGTAAGGCTACTATCTGGTTCTCAATTTCTGGTACAATACTGCTTGTTTTTTAGGCTGATTTTACATTATAAAAACACACCTCCACTTACTGGTATCTTTGTGTTACATCCGTGGGTTTCCCAAGTGGCTCAACAAGTAAGGAATCTGCCTGCCAATGCAGGAGACACAGAAAACGTGTGTTCTATCCCTGGGCTGCAAAGATCCTCTGGAGGAAGAAAAGGCAACCCACTCCAGTATTCTTGCCTGGAAAATCCCATGGACAGAGGAGCCTGGCATGCTACAGTCCACAGCGTCGCAAACAGTTGAACCCAACTGAGCGACTCAGCATGCACACATGTGGGTTCCCAGCCCCCAAAATTCCCATTTGGGCACCTTAACTCCCAACCAGATGATACTAGGAAGCAGGGCCCTTGGGAGATAAGCACAAGGCCCTCATGAGTGGGTTTAGTGAGAGCTCCCTTGTCCCTTCCTCGATGTGAGGACATGGCAACAGAGAAAATGACTGTGGAAAACATAACACAGACTGTTAAAATTATTACCTGTGCAACATGGGTTTATGGGGACCTTTAACTTTGTAAGTTAAATTTGCAAATTTTTAAAGATGTGCTATTTTTGTGGTTTAAACAAAAAACATGTTTTCCCACACTATCTTCTGCATCCAGAGACTCCAGCACCTCAAGGTCCACCTTGACTAATGGCCAAGAACCAACCAGGAACGGGGGCGTTGGGCCAAACAAGCTCAAGTCATACAGCAGAGAGCTACCCTCTCTATCTCAGGCCTCCAGCCCAAGGCAGTTGACCCTGAACTCTCATTAAGCCCACTCCCCCAGTGAGATGTGCCCTAGGCCCCTTCCCAAGGATGGCTAGGGGCCAGCCAGGGCTGCAGCTTCCAGCTAGTTATGCTATGTCACTAGCATTTGCTACTAGCTAACAACTTATTTAGGCAGGCCTCTATAGATTACATTAAGATATGAAGCAGCCTGTTATCATAGCAAGATGTCGCTCTAGAACATTCAGGCAGTTCCCTGACCCCTCGAAAAGAAAAATGGCACTTTTGCCAACTACCACCTTCTGCAAGGGGCCTCTCCCACCCAATCTGCCATACCAGGAGAGTTCGTGGAATCTGGTGTGCAGAAGGGCAAAGCTCTAAGTGAACACCCCCCAGCATGGTCCCTCTCCACCCCAACTCTTGCACCCAGCCCACACCGAAAAGCAAAAGCACACACACCCAGTTCCTGAACCCTGCAGCCTACTGAGACCAAGGTCAGCACAGGTCCATTAGCTTCTCTCGGTTTCAGCTCTGGAAGGACCCAAGGAGCTGCCTGAGACACGAGGTGGTCAGCACCAGGGGCACAAAGGCTGCTGGTCAAAGTGAAGACCCCGCCAGCAGTCAGTAGCAGGGATGCTGACATCTTTGTGGATGAAGGGAGCTTTTCTTCCCCCAAGAGAAAGACAGGCGCACTAAATGGTCTATCTCTGAGAAGTCAAAGCTGTACTCTAATCATGGAACATGGCACATGGCACAGGGCTTTGTAGCAGAGGCCACGGCAAAATGTCTAAGTCAGGTAGCTACCATCAGCCACAACTCACTCACCAATGACCAGCAGCACAAGGATGACAATGAGAACCACAAAGAAGGTGTTGCCATAGGTCACTACCAACTCCACAAGGCGGGACTTGAAGATCTTCTGCCATCTGTGAATAAGACAAAAAGGCTAAGGTCAGTAGAGTAAGAACACACACCTAGAATCCAGGGCCCTGAAAACAGAAATACAGTTTTGCACTCTTCAAAGGCTGACTATCTCATACAGATTCAGTCTCAGCTGCTTGCAATTCTCCAACTTATGACATCCGTTCAACAGTGTTAAAAAGAAGAAAAAAAAGATACCTGTCCAAGTACAGAAATTTCTAGAAAAAGTCTTAAAATACTGGTAGGCTCTGGGTAGAGAAATGCGAAACTTAGTGTCCCCCCTGTAGTATCAAAATGCTTGCCAAATCCACATTATTTCTTTAAACTGTTTTCCCATGTGCCCAATCTTGGCTCATCTAGACTCCCACCACCCCCAATTACCATGAAGGAGAGCCCCGACCTCCTTTCCTTTCCCTCCATAAATACTTCCGCATACAGCTCCATCAGAGAAGAGCCTTCAGAAATGGCTACCAATCGCAATGCCACCGCCAGGCCTCAAAAAAAGTCAACAAAAATCTCTCATCATCAGAGTCAGAACTCCAAAGTCCAATTGAGGCAATGATTTTTAACAATTGGTCTGTTTGAATCCTGACAAGTTTCAAATTCTGCATTCTGTTTATAAGTACCTTAAACCTCTCTTATTCTACGAACTCCCCCCTCCCTTGCCCTCTTTTGTTTTCTCTCCCAATTCACTGTTGCAGAAACCAGGCTGTTGGTCCTGCAAAGCTTTTCATGTAGCAGCTCCAAGTGGGCCGCTGTCTCTGCATTTCCTGTCAACTGTATGAGGTGATTCAGATCTAGCTTTTGTCAAGAACATTCCTTAAGCAGTGTACACTTTCTATCACAATAGTGGCCTATGATTTTTCATTAAAAAGAAGCTTTTATGAAAACATCTGTAAAAAGTCTTATTTGTAATGTTCTAACTTAAGACCAGATGTGTTCCTATAGTATGTGTAATCACGATGAATTTCAAAATAACTTTTCAGAAGTCCTCTGTTCACTGAAAAGAAACATGGCTTCAGCCTTCCTAAGCTGAGTAATGCTCATGAGGCCACTACGCAACCCCAGAGAGACTGGTTAGGAGGACAGAAGTCACCAAATCAACAGGAACATAACCCAGGGGCAAGTCTTGCAGATCTCACAATGCTATCCCCTAAACACCCGGAGGGCATCGTTCCCAGAACGATCATTCAGTCTTCTCCCCTCTGGCACACTCTGAAGACCAGAACTTAGGGTGCAGGGGAAAGGATCTCTCAAGATGTGACTGAGCAGAATTGTGGGCCTGGCTGGAGATAATAAACACAGTCCTTGCCACCCCATCCCAGACCGGTTCTACCTGTTTCCGGCTAGCTTCAATTCCATGGGCCCCCAACTCTGCAACAAGCTAACGAGACTCTTCCTGGCTTGCCTGCCCATACCTTTTGGGAGAAATGAAGGGAATGCAGAGCAGCAGCACAGCGAAGACCTCCGCATAGAGGAAAGTGGCGACTGCAGTCCACTGCAGACTCATCGTGTTGCTAGCAGCTTTCCACCGGGAAGATGCGAGCCTGTTCCTGACGGAGCACAGAACGAACAGGCGTCGTGACAGCTCGGCAGCCACCAGCCCTAGACCTGAGTCTTTCCAGCCCTCAAGTCCTGCAGCCTTGCTGCCGACACCTCCAGAGACACTTCCCAAACAATTCCTCCCCGTGGAGTCCGGGAGACTCCGCCTGCGGAACCCGAGCAGCAGTGGGTGGGAATCGGCAGCTCGGGGAGCCCAGAGATCTACCCCGCTGAGGGGCGCCAGAGGCTACCACCCACCACAACGCAGCCTCGGTCCTAGTAACGCCTTCGCGCTTCCTCCCAAGCTGTGACGCCTCTAGGCCCTTCCACCCGGGCCAACAGAAAAGGAGAGAGCAGCTCCTCCCAGGGCAGGAGCGGAACGCCAAAGCTTCCTAACCACCGCCCCTTCGGCTCGGGCTTTCGATACCTCCGAGAGCTCCCGAGAGCGACTCCTAGAGGACGAGAGTCGGAGCCAAGGGCAAGTGGGGGTCTCAACCCAGCACCTCACGGCCCCATCCAGAGAAAGTTCTAGAAGACCGTCTCCTCCGAAGCCAGAGAAAGCCCTCCCGGCCTCCCAGGTCGGTAGCGGCGCCTACCCAGCTCCAGAAGACCCCTAGAGAGGGCCCCGACCTGGCACGCCCTCCCAAGCCCCACCCCGCTGGCTCCTCCAGAGGGACTTCGACGTCGCCCCCCACCCCCGGAGATGGCTCCACCCGCCGCCACCCCAACTTCCCTCCGCCCGGTCCCGCCCCCACACCTCGCGCCCCGGGCCTCCTCATCGAGGAGCCAGGGAATCTCGACGGCCCCGGAGCCCAGCGCAGCGCGCGAGTCCGCTTACCGAGTTCTCCAGAGTCACCACGCACGCTTCGTCGCCGCCAAACTCTCCCACCACCAGCCCGGCCCCGCCCCTTCCCCGCGGCCGGAACCGGAAGCGCCCGGCTAGTCCCGGCCCGCCCCCAACCGCCACAGGGCCCCGGAGGCCCCGCCCCCGAGCCGAGGCTCCCGACACCTGGGACTGGGGAAGAAGCCTCGCCTTGCGCGCGCGCACGGAGCAACAGGGCCCCGGCCTTGGCGGGAAGGCGAGGTGCCGCTTCTCTAGCCCGCGCGGTCCTCCTGCGTCTCTGTGGTCCGGGGAGGGGGCGGGGCCCCACCGTGGGGCGAGAACTGGGTGGGGCGCCCCGCGCCTGGGCTCCGCCTCCCGCCCCTCCTCCGCCTCCTCCCCCTCCCCCGACTCGCCCCTGGGGAGGGGTGGGTGGGTGGGTAGGTGGGGATTCTGGGCGGGTGGCGGAGTCACAGTCGCTTCAGCCGGGCTGCGGAGCGGACGGACGCGCCCGGTACCCCGGGGAGGGGCGCCACCAGGGGAGGAGGAGTAGGAGGTGGAGAGAAAAAGACGCCCTCTCGGCCCGGACCTCTGGAGGCTCTGACCCCAAGGGCCAAGGGACTGACAAGTTCCTCCACTTCGGCCGCCTGAAGAGGCCGCGACCCAGGAGGGCCCTGAGCCCACCCGCGCCAGGGGCCCCAGCACCACCCGGGTGGCCTAAAGCGACAGTCTCAGGGACCACTGCGAGGTCTCCAGTTGCCTAGACAACGAGCCCGGGGTCAGAGCCACCACCCTTGCAGCCACCTGCCTCCTCTACCGCCTCAGGCACCCGTCCTAGTCCCGTGAGTCCAGCCCAGGTGACATGACGGTGCTCTCTACCCCCCGAGCCTCGCGGGTGACCACGCTGAAGCGTACTGCCGTGGTCCTGGCCCTCGTGGCCTATGGAGCCCACAAACTCTATCCTCTGGTGCGCCAGTGCCTGACTCCGGCCAGGAGCCCTCAAGCACCGGCGGTGGCTGGGGAGCCTGCACAGGACGTCTCCGGTGCCCCCGTGGCCACAGTGGCCAAGGCCGGCGTCAACCGGGTGTTCTTGCAGCGGCTCCTGTGGCTCCTGCGGCTGCTCTTCCCCAGGATCCTGTGCCGGGAGACAGGGCTGCTGGCGCTGCACTCAGCTGCCCTGGTGAGCCGGACGTTCCTGTCAGTGTATGTGGCCCGCCTGGATGGCCGGCTGGCCCGCTGCATCGTGCGCAGGGACCCACAGGCCTTCAGCTGGCAGCTCGTGCAGTGGCTGCTCATCGCGCTGCCTGCCACCTTCATCAACAGTGCCATCCGCTACCTGGAGGGCCAGCTGGCCCTGGGGTTCCGCAGCCGGCTGGTGGCCCACGCCTACAGCCTCTACTTCTCCCAGCAAACCTACTACCGGGTCAGCAACATGGACGGGCGGCTTCGCAACCCAGACCAGTCCCTGACGGAGGACGTGGTGGCCTTCGCTGCCTCTGTGGCCCACCTGTATTCCAACCTGACCAAGCCGCTCCTGGACGTGGCCGTGACCACCTACACCCTGGTTCGAGCGGCCCGCTCCCGTGGGGCCGGCACAGCCTGGCCCTCAGCCATCGCTGGCCTCGTGGTCTTCCTCACGGCCAACGTGCTGCGAGCCTTCTCGCCCAAGTTCGGGGAGCTGGTGGCTGAGGAGGCACGGCGCAAGGGAGAGCTGCGCTACATGCACTCCCGAGTGGTGGCCAACTCAGAGGAGATTGCCTTCTACGGGGGCCATGAGGTGGGGCCGGAAAGCGCGTGGCTGGGGGAGTCTGGGGCAGGAAGGCCGGGGGCTGCCTGCAGCTGATGGCACAGGTGTGGGCCAGCCATGGGAGAGGGAGGCTGGGGACGCCCAGAGCCGTGGGCAGCCCAGATTGGCACAGTAATGGAGAAGCAGGAAGGCTGGGTGGAGACTGTCCTGGGTCACTTCTGCTTCCTCTCCGCCTCCCTTGTCCTGGCCTTAGGGCTACAGACCCAAGTGATGGGAGACCCAAGAGCTCCCAGCCTGCCCCCTGCCTGCAGCCAACAGAGAGGGGGCTCCTGCCATCTGGGGGCAGGATGTGGCCTGCTGCCTGGCCCCCCTCCTAGTCCCCCAGACCCTTTGAAGACCGGCGTCCGGCCGGGCAAGTGGGCATTATGGGCATGACTCAGCCCAAGCGGAGGTTAACGAGCAGCAGTGCCTGGTGTGTCGATCAGAGCTCAGCGCTCCAGGTCAAGCTCCCCCCTCTCTGGAGCCCAAAGGCTTGCCTGGCTGTGGGCTTGGCTGCCTCCCCGAGGCCCCAGCCAGTGGTGCCGGGGCCCAAGCCACCGCTGCTGCAAGACGCACTTCCTGCCCTCCCGGCGGCCACCTTGCCCCCAGCGTGGCCGCCCTTCCGCCCAGGTCCCAGCCATGCAGCTCCCCAGCAGGCTGGGTCAGCGGCCAGCCGGCTAGGGCCAGGATCCGGGGCCTGGGAGAGGTTACTCCAGGCCAGTGCTCCAGCCCCTCCCCTCCTCCTGCCTGGGTTGCAGCTGCCTCCGGCTAGGTTCTCTGCGACTCTGGTTTCGGTTCCCCAGTGCTTCTGGGGGAGGGGTACAATGGCATCCAGCTCCTGAAGGCCCGTGGATCCTCCCTAGGTCAGATGGCCTTGTGTCCTCGACCTTGTCTCATTGGCAGCCCATCTTATCAGGCAGGGAGGCAAGCTTGTCCCTGATTTTTTTTTTTTTTAAGACTTATCCCTGAGCAGATAGGGGGCATTCCCAGTTGGGCTCCAGATAAGGAGAAAAAGGGCCGGCTCTGCAGCCGCAACCCCCCCCACCCGCCGTCCTCCTCCCCTGTGCTCCAGGGACGCAGGGTCTTGGCAGGCAGCCGTGGCCTTGGGTGAGGCACTTGGCGCATTCCCCGCAGCTACATTGTCAGCCCCAGCTGGCACGCCTGCCAGCTCCCAACACGAGCCTGGATCGCCAGGGCGCTCAGAGTAGGCGCGCTCACTTCAGGAAAGGCAAAGCGATGCCCAAGACCTGGCTGGGGACAGGGAAGGTGGGAAGAAGGGAGAATCGCTAGCTCCTTGAAAGATTTCCTCTGGGCTAGTTTCAGGAAATGGCACGTTCACAGGGAAGATTCACCGGCAGGGGTGGGAGGGGCCTGGTTGTGTGTGCATCCCCAACCTGTCTGTGGAGGCCTCGGGCAAAGGGCTGTGTGATATAATGGGCCTTCATGGGTGGCTTGATTGCCCTCACTGTGCGGGCACGCGACTCAGCCCAGTCCCATTGGCTGATGTCCCCATGGACACTGGCCCAGGCTCAGATCAGCAGGCTGGAGGGCAGACCGCCGAGTATTTTGCTGTTCCTGGGATGTCAAGGAGAAGGGTTATTACACGGGCTCATACCAACACACCCAACCTCTTATTAGCCTGAGCACGGGTAGACCTTTCTTAATAAGTCAAAGCATCATTCACAAGAATTGGCTTTGCTTAATGGCTCAGCCTACCTGGTCCAAATGCCATACGTCTTGCCACCTCCAGGCTGTGTGAGCTGGAGCAGGTCATTCTGCCTGTCTGGGCTACCATGGACAGGAGGATACACATACGATGGGACGTGGTGAGAATCAATAGATAGTCAGCTATGACATGGTGAATTGGCAAAGGAAACTATTCCAGGCTGGGCAGCTCTTGTCCATTGGGTGGGGAGACAGGATCAGGGCAGGCACCCCTACCAAGCCATCCAGGACCCAATGGCCACCTTCCTGTGACTGCTTCTTAGCCACTCCAGCCCATCTAACTGCTGCTGTCCCAGAGAGCCTGTTTTTCACCCACTCTCTCTGAGATGGCAAGTGGTAGCCAGTGCAGGAGCAGGCAGGGCAGGACCCCTAGCGGCCTGGCTGGCATCCTTAGCTGGCTTGGGCATGGGGCTGTCCACTGAGGATGATTCCTGAACGAGTTTGCTTGGGAGTGTGCCCTACCTGTCTCTGTGGGAGGATGTAGTGCAAGTTTGTTACCCAGAGGAACTGAGGGAAAGGAAAGGGAGGCCAGGGCCTATGGAGGTAGAGATGACCGAAGCACGTTCTTTGAAACCAGCTATTGCTTTTGGGTTTCCTGCGCTCCCGTCCCCTTTGTTCAGGGTGGCCCCTCGGCAGTTGCTCAAAGAATGGGCAAGGTGGCTGCCCTCGGCCTGTGTTGAAAAGCTCTCTGGGGCAGAGAGGGAGCATGGTGAGCATCCCAACTGAAGAGACAGTGGAAAGGGGGTGGGAGCCTCAGAAGTGGGGGGGGGATGAGCCCCTTCACTGCCACTGTACCCCAGCGCTGCATTGTCTATGCCATACCTCTCCCGAGTTTGAGACCTGTCCCCCTGTCCATGGTAGTCCAGACAGGGAAAGTGATCTACTCCACCTCACAGCCTGGAGGTGGCAAGAGGCATGGCATTTGGACCAGTTAGGCTGAGCCATTAAGCAAAGCCAATTCTGGTAAACGATGCTTTGACTCATCAAGCGTGGCCCAGTCCTGAGCCCCAGCTCTCAGCGCCAATATGGCCCTCGAATGGCCTGTGTGTCCTGGCACTCAGGGATGATCGCTGTTGCCCCGGGGGACTGACTGTCATGCCTCTGGGTCTCCGGCACCCCTTCCCCACAGGTGGAGCTGGCCCTTCTGCAGCACTCCTACCAGGACCTGGCTTCCCAGATCAACCTCATTCTGCTGGAACGCCTGTGGTATGTCATGCTGGAGCAGTTCCTCATGAAGTACGTGTGGAGCGCCTCAGGCTTGCTTATGGTGGCTGTCCCTATCATCACTGCTACCGGTTACTCAGAGTCAGGTGAGAGGGGGCCGGCCTTCTGGACCACTGGACTAGGCTTGGGAGGGCTCGGTGCCCAGCTGGCCCACCTGCCTCTTCTACTGCTGGGGACCCCAGCTGGCCCCCTTAGGAAACATCCAAGGTTGCACTCTCCTGGAGCTCCTCTCTGCCAAACTACATGTGGGTACCCATTATAGTATCTCACGCTTCTTGGTCCCACTCAGCCAAGCCTGAGGATGGCAGTTCAGGAACACCCTTCAACAGGCATCTACACTGTTGCCCACCTGGCCCTGTCTTGACCCATCTTGGCAGTGGGAGGATGGGGAAGTACATTCAAGGAGCCCCTTTCTGGCTCAAACCTGGGCTTTCCCACACCTGCAATAGCTCTTGCAGGTTGTCAAGGGCAGGGCCCTCTTGCCTGAGGCCTGGGGGACTGTGAAGGATTCCGTTTGTTCCTCTACTGGTTTGCAAGGAATTCATTCTATTTGCAGTCTTCATGGTTGCCCTTCAAAGGTTAATGTGCATACTTGAGAAAAGTCTGGGTTAATCAATAGCTCCTCCTCATCCCAGCCCTTGCTTACCACACTTTGGAGGACCAGCCTGCCATCAAGTTTGCCATGGCTTTATCGGGTCACTGCATGTTCAGATTTCACCCATGAGTTTCTGCTTTTTTTTGGTTCTCTTTCTCTGCAGTTTTCTCTAGGAAAGCCCTTCCCCACAGGCCGGTAACCCTCCTTCAGACAGACGTCCAGAAGTTCTTACCGTGAGGCTTTTGTCAAGGGAGCTTTGAGAATATTTTGTTGTCTGAAAATGTCTTTATTTTATCCTCCCCTCCACAACTGAAGTTTAGTTGGATGAGGAAGTTGAGGCGGTCCGTTGGTCTCTCTTTAGCCTGTTGACAACATCCCATTGCCTCTATTGGAAAACCTGCCATCAGCTTAACTGCTCTCAGCTGCCTGCATGGTCTCCCTGGTTAGACTTTTTCTCTGCAGTTTCTCTGGGAGGTGTTTGCTCGTGTGTTTCCATTTATTCTGCTTGAAACTTCTTGTATGTCCTGTGAATATCCACTGTTCCATCATTCAGATTGCTTCCATCATGGAAAGTTCTCAGTTGTTCCCTTTTTAAATATTGTCTCTCTCGTTCTTTGTGCTCTTTCCTTCTGGCCTCTGTCTGCCCCTTTCCCCACCTCGCACTGTCTGCGCTAAATTCTGGGAGGGGTCTTCCAATTTTCCCGTTCACTCATTGGCTAGTGTTCTCTTCGGCTGCATCTAATTTGAATTATTTTCATTTTCAATGATGTTTCTGTAAAGTTATACTTGACTCTCTTTTAAATAGACATTTGAAAATAGAAATTTCAAGCTGTGTTTGTGTCTGCTTTTCTCATCTCTCTGATTGCCCCTCTTCGGCCAGCTACCATACTAATCATGCTTATCCCAGGGTCTCTATCCAGCCATTGAGACCTGGGTTCAATCCCTGGATCAGGAAGATCCCCCTGGAGAAGGAAATGGCAACCCACTCCAGTACTCTTCCTGGAAAATCCCATGGACCGATGGAGGAGCCTGGTAGGCTACAGTCCATGGGGTCACTAAGAGTCAGACATGACTGAGCCACTTCACTATTTATCCAGCCATTTGGTTGTCTGAATTCTTGAGAGTCTAAGCCAACTTCATCTTCCAGCTGCCGGTCTTCTTTGCTCAAGGTCCTTGTGGGCTTAGCAAGTGCTGGAGGGTAGGATTCCCCAGAGCACTCATTGGCTTTGGTTTTAGCTGAGCTCCCAGGTAATGAACCAGTTGGAGGCCATTTCCTGTTAACTTCTCCACTTGGGGTGGAGGAGTTCCTGAACTTGGAGGTGATATTAATTTGAGCCCTAGACACATAATTACCAGTTCAGAGAGGAGACTTTGCATCTTGAGCCCTGGCTGTGTGACAGCAGCTCCCATCTCCGTCTCCAGGGATGTCACAGGAGCACTAGCTGCTAGCTTCTCTTCTCGCTCCTGGGAATTTCCCTTGCTTTCCTGCAAGCACAGCTCCAATGGAAAAGGTGTTGTATCTTGTGCAGTTGGGTGGTTAGAGGGTTTTCAGTACTATGTAAAGAGAGGGAGCCTGATGTGCACATTTCCAGAACACGAAGTGTCTCTCACTCTTTCTGTATAGGTGCCTCTCTCTTGGGGCTTCTGTACCCTCAGTTGTCTGTCTCTCTCTGCCAAGAGGAAAGATCTAGTTGGAAGTGGTCATTGTTTCCACCAATGGACCTATTCAAGGGGTGGCCTTGATTTGGCCAGGAGCATGGGAAGGGACCCAGGAGGAAACCAACATGCGGTTTCTGGGAGGAAGCGCTTGTGGCCAGTTCCCTCCTCTGCAGGCCTAGGACTTTCTGGAGCTTCTGCCGTGTTAGGCTTTGTGGGCGATTCAGAGGCCTCAGCTCCTGTGCCCACCTTTATGGTCAGACTCAAGGAAGCCAGAGGTGTTTCTGTTTTGTCCCTGCTGTGTCTCCAGTAACTGCAAACTGGAGAGTGCTGGGAACGAGGTAAGGAGGCAGGCGATCACCAGGGGAAACAGATGTAGCTAACTTTGCCCTTCTGGCCTGCCGGCACCTCCAAGCTAGAAGGCCAGAGAGGGACCACCTGGCCAGGAATAGCTGTTGGGTGTCTAGCTGTGGGCACTGAGGACAGCGGCAGAGAGTTATGCCATCTCCAGGGAGGTACCCGCTGTTGCCAGGGTCCCCGCAGACCCTTCCCCTTTGTGTGCAGTCCCTTTCAAGCTCTCAGGATGTCCAGAGAGGATGGTTTGTGTTCCCCCCTCCCCCGCCCCGCCTAGGACCACGGTTGGAAGGAAGGTCTGGGATGTTAGATTCTCAGAATCGCCAGTCCCCTCCCCTGCCCAGTGCCCTGGATTCCTGGTGCTCTGGCCAGCGGTCCAGCATTGCCTACCCCCCACTGCACCTTCCCTAACCTTTCTTCCCCTTCCTACCCCACCCTCACCATCATATCCTTGAGGGCTCCTGCCTCAGAACTGTTTATGCCTGTGGATAGAGGTAGCCCTCAGAGTCAGCTTGTTTTGCTTCCCATCACCATTTAGAGAACATTTCTTGTATAAAAGCCTTGCCCCTCTAGGGGACCCAAGGATCAAGAGAGTCAAAGCCATGGACAAGAGAGGGTTGTACTGGGCACCCATGAGGTCTCAACTGAGAAAAGAAAAAAGCAAGACAGAAGTGGGCTCCTTTAGAGAAATAGCAGCATTGAGGATGGCCACAGAATACAGCATCAAGGGGAGAGATGAGGGCAAAACGGGGTCAATCAACATATTTTCATGTGCTTATTGGCCATCTGTGTATCTTAAAATGGAAACATTTATTTAGATCCTTTGCCCACTGTTTAATTGTGTTGTTTATCTCCTTACTAGTGAATTGACAAAGTTCTTTATGTATTCTAGGACCTAGGCCCTTATCAGATTCATGATTTGCAGGTACTTTCTTCTAGTCCATAGGCTGTGTTTTCACATTGTGGATTTACTTTGGTGCCCCCAACTTTCTCTCTTTGATGAAGCTTCCTTCTCTGTTTTGCTTTTGGTGTCCTATTCAAGGAGCCATACCTAATGCCCAAGTGCTTTCTTCTAAGAGTTACATAGTCTCAGCTCTGTGTGCAGGCCAGGGCTCTGCTTCCAGTTTATTTTTGTGTGTTGTGTGAGGTCGAGGTTTGTCTTTGGCACGTGGAGACCCGGTTGTCCAAGCACCATGTGCTAGGGGGACTTCCTCTTTCCCCTAGTGGTTCAGTTTTGATTTTCCATTTTCTTTGCCCCCTCCCCACCCACCCCCCAACCCCTGCCATGCTCTGCAGACTCGGAGGCGGTGAAGAAGGCGGCCCAAGCGATGAAGGAGGGGGAACTGGTGAGTGAGCGCACGGAAGCCTTCACCATCGCCCGCAACCTCCTCACTGCTGCTGCGGATGCCATCGAGCGGGTCATGTCATCCTACAAGGAGGTAGCCCCCAGTCCAGCCCCTGACCCAGCCCTCCCCCCACCCCACTCGTGCCCTCTCCCCTCCACCCCTGCTGGCAGAGGCTAAGCCAGGATCACCCTCACTGCAGGTCACAGAGCTGGCTGGCTACACAGCCAGGGTCTACGAGATGTTCCAGGTATTCGAAGATGTCCGGCAGTGCCGTTTCAAGAGGCCCGGTGAGTCGGAGGATGCGCAGGCAGGGTCCGGGGCCATCGTAAAGTCTGGCGTCCGCGTGGAGGGGCCCCTGCAGATCCGAGGTAAGGTTGCCCTCCCCAAAGAGGCCCCACGGGTCCCGGCCCTCCCACCACTGCCCGGTGTGCCCTGGAGGGCTTCCCGGGCAAGTTATGGTCCTCACTGACCTCCTTCCCAGAGCAGTAACCCTGGCCAGGATTTCTCTTTGCAAAAGAGGTGGAGGGTGGCCCCTGAGTGGAGTAGGGGCTGGGGGGAGGGGTGCACTGTGGAAGAGGCCCCAAGCATTGGAGTTGGTGTTGGGGGCACTGCAGGGCAGGAACGGACACTGTCCCTCTCCCCAGCCCCGAGCACAGCAAGGGAGGCACGGTGAAGCCACACACTGGTGGGCTGCTAGGGGGTGGGGGCCCACGGAAGCCAGCAGAAGGTAGGGGAGTGCTCCACCCCCTTCTCTCTGCCTCACACCCTCTCTCCAGGCCAAGTGGTGGATGTGGAACAGGGCATCGTGTGTGAGAACATCCCCATTATCACGCCCACCGGGGAGGTGGTGGTAGCCAGTCTCAACATCAGGGTAAGTAGAAGGCGTGGCCAAGCACCAGCCCAGAAGCTCGGGTGGGGCTGAAGCCAACTCTGAGGCCCCGGGCCTGGCCTTCTGCATCCACAAGCCACCCACAAGTCTCAGCCCTTAGGACCCAGCCTGGTCAGCCTGCCTTCTGTTGTCAGTAGCCATTGACCCCAGGTCTACGTGGCAGGCAGCTGAAGCTGAAGGTGAAAGGGCAATGTGTCTACCTATTAACTCTGGGGCAATGGAGTCAGAACTGATAAAAGAGCCTTGTGATTACCAGGATTGGGCAGGAGTCACCCACAGGTTCCTGGCCGTATTGTTGCCAGCACCCCACACCCCGCACCCCACCCCGTCCCTGAGAAGCCCAGGACCTGGGGACTCTGGTCCAACTCTGGTCCCAGGTTGGTGGAAGTTCTTCCAGTCCCACCCATCTGCTGTGAGAGGCACCCAGGGAAAGTGAGTGGTGGGCATGGCCTGGCTCCCTGGGAGAGCTATCATCCATGATGCAGGCTGTCTGTGGACAGGACTCCCTGGGGGCCGACAGCCACCAGTCACCTATGTGCCAGGGCTTTGGACAGAGTGATGGACTGAAGGGTTGTCCTGGGGATGGAAGTCATTGATTTGTTCACCTAATGTTCCCTGAGCTCCAGGCTGGGCACTGTAAACCAGAGGTAAATCAGGGAAGCCCTTAAGGGTTACAAAGAGCCCGGGTCAGATGGCTCTCCAGATTCAGCAAGGACCCCAGCTCACCAGCTCTGGGGGCATAGAAATCACATGAAGCTTCACCCAGGAGCCTCTAGGCAGGTGGGCAGGCGGCCAGCTGGAGGCTGGGCACAGAGCAGTGGTATGATTGCCATTACCCCTGGGAGTAGTCACTTTTGGGAGGTTGGGGTGCTGCTGATGGCCGGTTTACCCCGGTTGAACAGTTTCCAGGCAGGCCCAGGTGGGCAGCTAGTTAGAAGGTGAGGTGAGGCGAGGGAGTGGGGGCCGGGGGCTCTCCATCCTGGCAGAGCCACTGGTGGAGTTGGGCTCTGGTTAGGTTAGCGACAGGGAGCCCCTGGCTCTGTTCAGCCAGGTGATAGGGTAAGAAGGGCGATCGCAGAGGTTCAGGGAAGTGGGCAAGGGAGACCGCCTGGGACATGTGCTCTGGGATAGTGAGAGGACCACCCTGGCTGGAAGGCCCGGGGTGTCACGGTGAAATCACACAAGGTGGTGGTGGTGGGGATCGGATCGGGGAGCTGTGCCTTCAGTGCCGTCCTCTACCCTGCAGACAGCAGCCCCCCACCAGGTGTCTCCAGATCAGCAGATGTCAGGCTCGTTGCGTAACCTGAAGCACTCACTGCCCACATGGCCTCCGGGTGTGCTGGGGGCGGCGCCACTGACTGTTTGCTGGACCACGGCAGGACAGGCTGTCCTGCTGTCCCCGTGGTCTCTGGCGTGCATCAGGGACAAGCCAGGGCCCTGCAGCTGAACTCCAGAGCCTGCCCTGGGGGCCCTGCCATGCTGCAGCCAGAGATGGAGAGTGGGCATGGGCCAGGTGCTGACCTGAGGCCGGCAGGTCAGCCACAGGTGAGGGGAGGGGGCCTGAGCCATGCCCACAGCTGCCTGCCACCCCTGCAGGTGGAAGAAGGCATGCACCTGCTCATCACTGGCCCCAATGGCTGCGGCAAGAGCTCCCTGTTCCGGATCCTGGGTGGGCTGTGGCCCACATACGGCGGTGTGCTCTACAAGCCCCCGCCCCAGCGCATGTTCTACATCCCCCAGAGGTGAGCAACACCCCCCGCCCCCTCTGATTTGAGGGGACAGGGGGTGGCAAGGGACTGCCCCTGGGGTCGGAGGGGATGGGCACCTCCACCTGCCAGCCCCCTGCCCCAACCTGCTGGCCCAGAAGCCTTACTACCCTGGGGCACATGTGCACACGTGAGTGTGTCTGAGCCTGCCAGGGGGTGGGTGTGCTTCCCTCCAATCGGTCCCCCCCGCCGAGGTGCCAGCCTTGCCTCCATGGCCACCCGGCTCTCCTGCAGGCCCTACATGTCCGTGGGCTCCTTGCGTGACCAGGTTATCTACCCCGACTCGGTGGAAGACATGCGCCGGAAGGGCTATTCTGAGGAACATCTGGAAGGCATCCTGGACATCGTGCACTTGAACCACATCCTGCAGCGGGAAGGAGGTAGGGGAAGGGGCATCCCCCCCCCACCAGTGCTGCCCCTGCCTCCCTCCTAGCACCACTCCCAGGGGTGAAAATGACCCCAAGCAACGTTCAGGAGTCCAAAGCACAATGGAGTCGGGAGAGCCTCACCCCGGTGGAGGACCCACAGGAAGCACACAGCCCCAGACAGACTGAGCGTGGAAAGCAACCAACACTGGCAGTGGCATCCGGTGGGGCACTGTCTCTGGGCGGTGGGCTCAGGCAGGCAAGGCCCCCTCGGGCCAGGCAGGGAATGCACAGGTACGTTAGGCATTTCAGTAAGAGTACAGAGCCCAGGTGTAGGCAGGGCAGCCTGGCATGTGCATGGCGACAGTGGAAACGGAGGGGACACCTGCCCTCCCACGTGTCTGCCTCCAGCCTGGGGCTGTGTCCCCTGGGAAGAGACCACAGGAAGGAGGGACAGGCCAGTACTTGGGGGCCTCTCAGGTTGGTCTTTAAATGCCCACAGCACCCAGAGGAGGAGAGGGTGGCCCAGCTGCCGGCTTTGGGGTTTCTGTACTGAAAGCCGAATGATAGAAGTCAGAGTCCTGCCTTGGCCACTGAGGGGCAGCTTGACTTTGAGCCAAACCTGACCCCTGGACATGCCCTCCACCTGTAACAGGGGCAGGTGCCAGTCTCAAGCTCAGGGCCGACAGGTGTCATCGCCTGTACAGAAAGGGGCCGCAGACAGTGGATTCAGTGGGCTGGCTCCTCCGGGGCCCCTTGTTGCCATGATTCCTGCAAAGCTTTATTCTCAGCTTCCTCCTGGCAATGCGGAGAGCCAGGTTCGATCCCTAGGTTGGGAAGATCTCCTGGAGAGGGAAATGGCCACCCACTACAGGATTCTTGCCTGGAAAATCCCATGGACGGAGGAACCTGATAGGCTCCAGTCCATGGGGTCGCAAGGAGTCGGCCACGACTGAGCAACTTCAGTTCACTTCACTTCCTCCTGGCCTGCTGGGGCCCCTTTTGCTCACCCTGGGAGCGCTCCCCTCCACCTGGGCTCCATGTGCCCCTGAGTGCCTGGGGTCCCCGAGCTGGCTGTTACACCCCGTTAGCATTGAGTTCAGCTGTGAGTAACAGAACTACCCACCAACAGTGGCTCAGATCATTTACAAGTTTATCTTACTGGGACATAGAAGTCCTGAGGAAGGCAAGCTGCAGTTGGTGGGGATTGCCCCACCCCATAAAGGCCCCCGAGTCACTGCTGTATGTGGTCTCCATTCCTGAGGTCACTTCGCAGTCCACGGTGGCTGCTTTGGCGTCATGTCACATCACATATCCCGAGCCATAGTATAGAGAAGGTGAGGTGTGGGCAATCACTGAGTGAATGCTGTCTTTTATTTTTTTTTTTTTATTTTTTTTTTTAACAGGACAAATCCACACTTTTATTTATTTTCAAGAAGTTTAAATCCTCGAAGGGTACAGCATCACACGGATTCTGTGTCCAATGGCCTTAGCAGGAAGGTTACTTCGGAATTTGGCACGAACCATGCCACTGTTTCCATGAGCTCGAGTTATCTTTCCCCAGATCACTCTGGTTTTGTTAGGTTTTCCACCAGGAGTTACTGTGTTGTTCTTTGCTTTGTACACATAAGCACATCTCTTGCCTAGATAGAATTCAGTTTCATCTCGAGCATATACACCTTCAATTTTCAGGAGAGCAGTGTGTTCCCTTTGGTTCCGTAAACCCCGTTTATAGCCAGCAAAAATGGCCTTGGACCACAGCCTTCCAGACATATTTGTCGTTTTAGAAGTCCCGTTCCCAGCAGGCCTCCACAGGGTCCAAGATGGCTGAAAGAGCGAATGCTGTCTTTTAAAGAAAGTTCCAGAAGCTGCCACATGTGTAACACATAAACTTACACCCCATTGGCCAGGATTCAATTCTGTGGTTAAACCTCCCATCAGGGCAACTTGGACAGTGAAGTGTTTTTTTTTTTTTGGTGGGTGGCCACATGCCCTACCGAAAATTCTAGTTCTCTGGAAAGAGAGTGGAGGGAGCAAGCCAGGGGGCGTTTCTTGTGAATCACCCACTTCCCTCCTCATCCAAGGAACTCTCCTGAGCCTTGTTGACATGCTTCACACTGGGACACACAGGCCTCGTCCCTGTGGGTGAGAAGGTTTCCAGAGAGACCCCCAGAGCCGTTCTTGGGGCTCTGCCTTGACTGTCTGCTGCCCACTGGCACTTCATTAGCCCCGTTAGGTCCTGTGTGAGTTTGCTGGCACCAGAGACTGGGTGGGGCAAACAACAGAAATGTATTGTCTCCCAGTCGTGGAGGCCAGACGTCCATGATCCAGGCATGGGCAAGGTAAGTTCCTCCCACTGGCCGTGAGGGAGGGTGTGTTCCAGGCCTCTCTCCTGGGATGGGAGAGGCCATCTGCACCCTGTGTCATCTTTCCTCCTTGTGTGTCTGTGTCTCCAAGTGTCCCCTTTTATAAGGACACAGTCCCATTGGATTAGGGCCACCCTCGTCACCTCCCTTTAACTCGACCAGTCCTAGGAAGACCCAGTGTCCACCTGCGGTGGGTGGCATCCTCAGGGCCTGCAGATGATGACTGCCTGGTGTCTTATCAGAGGAAATGTGTGTAAATCTGGACTGAGTCCTTTTGGACTAATACAGTGTCTGCAGACGTCCCCAGTGGCTGGCCTTTCCCTGCCGTGTTCTGTTCTCACTCGTGTCTGTAGTCCTCTGAGCAACCCCAAGCCTTCCCACAACACCCACCATGCACGGGCCTGAGCTTGGGCCTGGGCCCTTCTGCAGATGCTGCCCAGCCCTCTTGAACTGAACAGCAACCCTTGTTCTGTGCCAGGTTGGGAGGCCGTGTGTGACTGGAAAGATGTCCTGTCGGGGGGCGAGAAGCAGAGAGTTGGCATGGCCCGCATGTTCTACCACAGGTGAGCTGCCAGCCTCCCAGTAACCAGGTGCTTGGGCTCCCTCGGGCACCGGGAGTTCCCCGAACCTCTTTCCCTGGGACCTCCTGAAGCAGGGAGGCAGAACTGCTTGGAGGCCTGGCTCCAGCCCGGGGGGATGGGGGGGATGGAGGTGTCAAGCTCCCCCTGCCTCCGCCTGAGGGGCTGGGGCCATCCCAGGGCATTAGCCCTGGAGGCCTGCAGCCTCACCCACATGGCCATTACCCCAAGGCCCAAGTACGCCCTCCTGGATGAGTGTACCAGCGCTGTGAGCATCGATGTGGAAGGGAAGATCTTCCAGGCGGCCAAGGATGCAGGCATTGCACTGCTTTCCATCACCCACCGACCCTCCCTGTGGTAGGTGTGCCCTCCCTTCCCGAAGGACTCTGGCCGAAGGTTCTGGCGGCCCACTGAGTGCCTCCTCCTGGTCCCTCTCCTGACGCAGGAAGTACCACACCCACTTGCTTCAGTTCGATGGGGAGGGCGGCTGGAAGTTTGAGAAGCTGGACTCAGCCACCCGCCTGAGCCTGACTGAGGAGAAGCAGCGGCTCGAGCAGCAGCTGGCGGGCATCCCCAAGATGCAGCGGCGCCACCAGGAGCTCTGCCAGATCCTGGGCCAGGGTCCTGGGGCCACCCAGGGTGCTGCCACTTGACCAGGGGCCCTGGCTCTCTCTTGCTTGGCTCTTGGCCCCCCTCCACCCCTGCCCCAACCCTCGGATCACATGAAGGAGACAGCGCCTGTGCAACCTGGCCCCATGCCCCCCCTCCCCTGCCCCTCATCGCATGCTTTGCCATTCTCCCAAGGGACCACCTGTGAAACCCGTGCCCCCTTCCTGGGGACCTGAGTGGGGAAGGGAGAATGGCCAGAGGTGCACCCCACTGCCAGCAGCAGAGACATCATGGTCCATGCCTCTATTGCCATCATCCCAGGGACCCAGCGAGGCTCCCATCCCCTGGGATGCCCTCGTTGCTGTAAAAATGGCCAAGTGAGACCCTCAGAATGAGACAGAGCCCCTCATTCATGCCCCCCCCACCCATCATTCTATAGAATCTGCAAGGAAAAGAATTGCACAGCTTTTCCTACCGAGCCATGATAAGAATGTAGCCCCGTCCCTATCCCCTTCTTCAAGCTAATTTATTGGATTCCTCTTTGTAGACATCTCCATCGCCAGTGGGAGCACCCAGTCAGCCAGCCCCTGGCCCACCCACCACCCCACCAGCCTACACTGCCGACCACCAGAGGGTGGGTGGGGGCGGGCCGGCCCCAGGAGCGATGGACCCTGGGGCCATGAGGCATGAGGGCACTGTGGTGCCCAGTCCAGTGCCAAAGAGGGGTCAGCGGGGAAGCTGTGTCCGCAAAGGCAGCCCCGACCTGAGAGGGAGACCCCCACTGCTGCCACGCCGCCGTGTGCCTTTCGGGCCCTCAGCCCTGGGGTCGGGGAGCCTCCCTGAGTTCCTCAGTAAAGACCTGCCGTGGAAAGTGCACTGTTGCCTCCCAGCCTCTCTGTCCACACAGGGGCTTGGTTGGGGGAGAGGCAGGAGGGGCAGCTGTAGGCCTGGGTGAGGGGCAACCTCAGTGGCCCATCTGCAGCCAAAGATGCTGGCCCACATGTCCTCTGGACCCGGCCATGGCAAGGAAGCATCTGCAATATCTCTCCAAAATGATGGCTAACCCCAAAGAAGACCCTGAACCCTGTGCCAGGGAAGAGGAAGGGGCTGAGGCCTGGTCCATGCATGACAAGCTTCGAGAGAGATACCAAGCGGCAGGCTGGTGGGGAACACGGAGGAACAAGAGTCCTGAGCCAACCAGGCCAAGGGTAGTGGGACACAGGACTTCCAGACCTTGCAGGAGTGGGAGACGCTTGTGCCACATGCCAAGTGCAGGGGAAAGGGAGGGGCCAGGGCTTGCTTAAAGAGCCTGGACTTACTCTAGAAACAGGATGGAGGTAACATGGGAGCTAATGCTTCAAGGAGGCCAAGCAGAGGGAGACAAGAACACCGCACCTGGCTGTTATCCCCTGCTGGTGGGGCCGGAAACGGGGCAGCCATGGTGGGCAAGAGGGTGGCAGGTCCGAGAAAGCTGGGCACAGAGTTCCCATGTGACCCAGCACCTCTACTCAGAGGTTTAGACCCAGAGAATGGAAACTAGATGTTCGGTCATAAACCTTTACACATGAATATTCTTCACAGTACTGTTGATGGTAACCCAAAGTGGAAACAACTGGAATGTCTATCAACAGATGAATGCACAAGTAAAATGTGGTCTCTCCATACAATGGAGTATTATTCCGCTTCCCAAGTAGACTGATGGCTGCCAGGGGCTGGGGAGTGACTGCTGAACAGGTTCAGTTTTCCTTTTTGGGGTAATAAGAATGTTATAGAACTGTAGAGGCCATGGTTGTAAATACTGTATGTCTGCTAAATGCCAACAAAGTGTGAACTTTAAAAGGCATGGCTTTATGTGAATTGTACCTCAAAAAATAGATGATCGAGACACTGATCCTAAAGAGGTAGAAGTGATGGATGACCAATAGATAATAGAGATGATAGATTGATGATGATGATGATGGAGGGATGGATGGATGGATAATAGGTGAAGTGATACAGAGAGACATAGACAAGGAACACACCGCTTGACAACCCAGGCTGGATGTGCTGAGGCCTGAAACCCCAGATGGATTAGAGAGTAATTAGAAGTCAACAGGGGGACTTCCCTGGCAGTCCAGTGGTGAAGGCTCTGCACTTCCACTGCAGAGGGCCCAGGTTCAATCCCTGCTTGGGGGAACTTAAGATCCTGCATGTGCATGCCGCGCAGGGCAGCCAAGAAAAAAAAAAGTCAACAGGGATGGGGGGAGCACAGCTCAAACTCGGGGGCAAGAAAAGTGTGGGGTGAGACTCAAGGTGATGCTTGGGTTGCCAGGTGGGTGGTAGCACCTTCTGCTGAAGGAGGGACAGGTCGAAGAGAATGTGCTCTGCCCAATGACTGCTTGCTGGCCCCGGGTCTGCAGGCCCGGCAGAAGGCACAAGTGGAAGTGATGAGCAGGCAGTTGGCACTAGGAGGATGCAGCTGGTTGAGAGCTCCAGGCTGGAGGTCCTCTGAGGGGGCATTGGCCAGCAGAGAAGCAGCGTGGGCAGGAGGTGCCTTGGTCTCTTATCTGGGAAACAGGAGGAAGATTGCGTTTTATTTGAGGTTAGGAGTTGTTCGTGATCCTGGGAGAACTAGCAATTCAGAGGTTTAGGAGTTGTTCCCCTGTATCTTGCAAAGATTATGCAAGTTGTCCCTACTTGATAATAAATCCTTTTTTTTTCCAGCTTACAAAGCTAGAATGGTTCTGTGGTCTGCCACCAAACCCTAATTGATATCGATGGAAAGAGACATACCCAGTGAATATCACTCAAAAGGAAGTTAGTGAAGAGAAGTTAACTTTGGACAAAGTAGACCTCAGGGCACAAATCATTATTAGAAATACAAGAGGTTGCTGCCCAATGATTAAAGAAGTAATCCATTGAGAAGCACTAACCATTCTGAAGGTATGTGTGTAACCTGCTACAAAAAAGTAGCAGGAAAAGGAAAAATTAATAAATTAGTAAATTCACCACAATAAATCACACTATCCCTCACTCCAATTGGTAGCTCAAGCAGACAAAATGTAGCACCAGTTGAACAAGTTTGATTAACAGATACATGAAAACTAGGGAGTACACACTTCAAGTTCACCTTGAACACTTACTAAAACCCACCATGTTCTCAGCCACAAAACAAATCTCAATACTAGAATGAGTATCACACAGAGCATGTTCTCAAACTGCAATGGAATAAACCCATAAATGGATGATAAAGCTAAAATGAAGTCCTCCCACGTTTGAAATTTTAAATTTACACAGTTAAATTTTAAAATACACTTCTGAATAATTTATTGGTCCAAAAGAATGATAATGAAAATCTAAAAAATGTTAGAACTGAACGACAATGAAGACGTGCAGCATGTAGCTCAAGCAGGACTTATGAGGAAACGTACAACCTTAACCTGAGGGAGCTGAACACAGGAAGTCAGAAAAACCGCAGTAGAATAAACTCAAAGAAAGCCAAAGGAAGGAACTCACAAAGACAGTAGAAGTTGATGAAATTGAGAAAAAACAAAGATAAAACCAAAGTTGGTTCTCTGAAATTAGTAACATAGATAAGGCTCTGGCAAGAAAGATGGGCTTTCCTGGTAGCTCAGCTGGTAAAGAATCCGCCTGTAATGCGGGAGACCTGGGTTCGATCCCTGGGTTGGGAAGATCCCTTGGAGAAGGGAAAGGCTACCCACTCTAGTATTCTGGCCTGGAGAATTCCATGGACTGTATAGTCCCTGGAGTCGCAAAGAGTTGGACATGACTGAGCAAGTTTCACTTTCACTGGCAAGAATGAAAAGAGGGTATTCAAATAAACAATGTCAGGAGGGAAAAAAGGTAGAATCACAGCTGCCACAGCCCTTGCCAATGTAATGAGAGGCTCTGGATAAAGCATGGAAACGTGGACACCTGTGTAGCCCCTGAAAGGTACTCCTTTTCTGTGGTACATTTATTCCTTTTTTCACTTGTCATCCCCTTACCATCACTTCTGTAGTGTTTTGAGAAAGCAGAACTAATTTCAAAGTACCAACCTTTGGTTTTGTTGAAAACAGCAATGAGAGGCAGCCGGCAGCAGAGGCTGGTTTCCACAAGAATTGGAAGCACCAGATAACTCAGAAGAAATACTCTGTGTGTGTGTGTGTGTGTGTGTGAGTGTGTGTGTGCATGCATGTGTGTGGGGGTGTGTGTGCTGGGGTGGGGAACAGAAGGATCCATTGAGAGTCTGTGTAAGAGGCTACTAGATCACATGTATTTCAATTATATATATATGTATATATAAAGCTGCTATATTCTCACATCTTTGTCCCACCTCATGCAGAAAAGCTGACTTTACTCTCTGGTGAGTTAGAAAAGAAGGTCTGTGGAAATGCAAATTAAAGTCACAGTGAAGACTTCCTTAGCGGTCCAGTGGTTAAGGCTGCACTTCCAATTCAGGCAGTGTGGGTTCAGTCTCTGCTCAGGGAAGTAAGATCCCATATGCCATATGGGACAGTCAAAAAAAAAAAGCCACAGTGAGATAACGTTTTAGTCCCATGCACTGATTGACAAAAATGCAGAAAAAGGCAAAAGAAAAAGTCAGAGGAGAAGGGGGCAACAGAGGATGAGATGGTTGGATAGCATCACTGACTCACTGGACATGAGTTTGAGCACACTCAGGAAGACAGTGAACGACAGGGAAGCCTGGCGTGCTGTAGTCCATGGGGTCGCAAAGAATCAAGGCTTAGCAACTGCACAACAACAAAAAGTCAGACAATGCCATGTGTTGGCAGTGATCTGGAGTATCAAGAACTCATACACTGTGGGGGAGATATAAACTAGTACAATTACTCTGGAAAACAATTTGGCATTATCTAGTAGAATTGCCTGGAAAATCTCATGGACAGAGGAGCCTGGTGGGCTACAGTCCATGGGGTCGCAAGGATTGGACACGACTTAGCAACTAAACCCCAGTGGAATCGAAGATGTACATATTTACAACCTGACAATGTCACTCCTGAGTGTATCCTATAGAAGATCTTTCACAAATATACCAGATTAC